TGCCCAGCCAGGTCACGGAGTTTTTCTAAGTAGAAAACTGGAAAATGTGGAGGGAAGAAGCGCTTTTAGGGGCAAGATCAGAAAATGTTACTTCCTGAAATTAAATCTAACACTTATCAAGATAGAAGTGATGAGCTTAGCTATATGCAGAAATTTTAAATATGTGGCTGATAAAACCAGGATTATTCAACCTCTATTAGCAAGACTAGACTGTCTTTTCAGACCATCCAACGTGACCAAGTGAATACTTAGGAATGAAAGCAATTTTTTTTTTTTTTTTTTTGAGACGGAGTCTTACTCTGTTGCCAGGCTGGAGTGCAGTGGTGTGATCTCGGCTCACTGCAACCTCTGCCTCCTGGATTCAAGTGATTCTTGTGCCCCAGCCTCCCAAGTAGCTGAGATTACAGGCATGTGCCACCATACCTAGGTAATTTTTGTGTTTTTAAACTAGAGACGGGGTTTCACCATGTTGGCCAGGATGGTCTCGATCTCCTGAACTTGTGATCCCCCTGCCTTGGCTTCCCAAAGTGCTGGGATTACAGGCGTGAGCCACCGTGCCCGGCCCCAATTTTTTTTCGACGGAGCCTCGCTCTATTGCCCAGGCTGGAGTGCAGTGGAGTGATCTCAGCTCACTGCAACCTACCCCTCCTGGGTTCAAGCAATTCTCCCACCTCAGCCTTCCAAGTAGCTGGGATTATAGGCACCCACCACCACACCGGGCTAATTTTTGTATTTTTAGTAGAGATAGGGTTTCACCATTTTGGCCAGGCTGGTCTTGAACTCTTGACCTCAGGTGATCCACCTGCTTCAGCCTCCCAAAGTGCTGGGATTATAGATGTGAGCCACCATGCCCAGTCATGAAAACAATTTATAAAAATGTAGATATAAACTACTTAACTATGGTATAATTTGTCATTCATTCATTCATTTATTTATTCATCCATTTGGGAATTGATCCAAGTGACTCATTCCTGTCACTGAAAAGGTCTATAAATGAAGACCTTATTCCCCACTTACCTGTTAGGGCTCCAACAAAATAGAGGATGGCACCCACGGCCTCCTTTGATAGCAGGACATCTCTTGGAAGTGCCTCCAGAGTCACTTCATGTCCCTTGTCTAGAGCCCCTTCAAGCTGTGGGGGAAGGTGGGCGACTATTGAAAATAACATAGGAAAGGTCCCAACCCAGGGCCCAGCACGTAATAATCCCCTGACAGATGTGAAGTCTCTCCTATGTCCCCATTTCTTTTTCAAGGCCTCAAGTCCTGAAGAGTACTGGTCTGCTGGGTTCCCTGGTCCCTGAGTTTTGGACTCTGGAAAGGGAAGTTTCCAGCCCCTCCCGCAGATGGCCCTTCTGGCCTGTCTCCTACTCTCTGGCCATCAGAGGGAGCATGTTTGCCCTTTCCCAGGGGACAAAGAAAGGAGCAGTGGCCTGACAGCCAGGGTGCACGTGGCCGGCCTTGGGGAAGGATCTACGATGGACTCCCCTGGCCACTGGCCACCTCCTGCCACTGTCAGATCTCCCCACCTGCTGCAATACCCGCCCCCACCAAAACTTTACCAAAATGTGCCTTCTCCCACCCTTCCCCACTTCCACTGGGCCCTCACCGCCAGCTCGAGGTCTTGTAGCTCCTTTTTCTTCCCTAGAAGTTTGCTGAGGGAGCTGAGCAGGGAGCTTTGGCCCACTCGGCTCAGCTTCTCCACTTGTTGGGTCTCTCTCTGAACTTCTTCTTTTAGTGTCCTGAAGCCTTCGTGTACATCCCCTGTGGGGACAGTAATGGGGCACACGGCCCTCCAGTAAGCATTCTCCCTGCAGGGCTCCCATGCTCACCCCCTTTCGGTCCCCATGCCCTATTCACCAGTTTGAGCCTGGCCCCTTTTTTCTTTACCAGGGAATGTGGTTACGGGGGTATCCACCAGCCCTGGCCTGAGGGTTGGGGCGAGAAGGCAGACCAGGACGCATGCTGTCATCTAACCCAACAGTGAATTTTCCCGAGATTCCAGGCCACATCCCACATCAGTACACAATTGACTTCTCTTTCTCTAAGATTCCAGCCAAAGGTAGAGAAAGAAGGTCTGTATTCCCTTCTCATGAGTTAGTTGACAAAGAAGAATGACTTTGCCTTCTCCTCTCTACCCTAATGCTACCTCCATGCCAAAGTCTTGCGAGAAACAAACAAAGTTGCTTACCAACATCAGATGCCTGGATAACTGAGAAAATAAGAAAAAAAAAAAAAAAATAAATTAGTTTTTGAAAAAAAAACGTGAAAAAAAAAAAAATAAGAAAAAAAAAAAAAAAAAAGGTAAGAATGCAATCCTTCAGAATGGCAGCCATACCAGGGGATGAGACACCAAGGAAGATGAGGAAATACATCCTGCCTGTCTCCTGGGAGATCCCAGCTACCTCGTTCCTGGTGTTACTGTGACTCAGTGGCTTTGGCCCCAGTTGCTGGGTGACCGAGTTGCATATGTGTGTGTAGCAGATTATAGCTACTAAGACTCTTAAAAAAAATTTTTTTTTTTTGAGACAGAGTCTTGCTCTGTCATCCAGGCTGGAGTGCAGTGGCACAGTCTTGGCTCACTGCAACCTCTGCTCCCAGGTTGAAGGGTTTCTCTTGCCTTAGCCTCCTGAGTAACTGGGACTACAGGTATGTGCCACCATACTCAACTAATTTTTATATTTTTAATAGAGACGGGGTTTCACCATATTGGCCAGGCTGGTCTTGAACTCCTGACCTCGTGATCTGGCCGTCTTGGCATCCCAAAGTACTGGGATTACAGGTGTGAGCCACTGCATCTGGCCAAATTTTTTTTTTTTTAGAAACATCTGCTCCAGTATTTTTTTTTAAGGTCAGGCACAGTGGCTCAGTGCCTGGCCTTAAAAAAAAAGTGAAATCCCAGCACTTTGGGAGTTCAAGGCGGGCAGATCATCTGAGGTCAGGAGTTTGAGACCAGCCTGACCAACACGGTGAAACCCCATCTCTACTAAAAATATAAAAAATTAGTGGGGCATGGTGGCAGGTGCCTGTAATCCCAGCTACTTGGGAGTCTGAGGCAGGAGAATTCCTTGAACCTGGGAGGCAGATGTTGCAGTGAGCCAAGATCTGGCCATTGCACTCCAGTGTGGGCACAAACAAAAAAAAATTTTTTTTTTTTAAATAGAGACAGGGTCTGGTCTCACTATGTTGCCCAGGCTGGTCTCGAATTCCTGAGCTCAAGGGATTCTCCTGCCTCAGCCTCCCAAAGTGCTGGGATTATAGGCGTGAGTCACTGTACCTGGCTGCTACTAAGCCTCTTGAGGAAAGAGGTCTCAGGCATCAGACCATCTGGGTATCTGGTCCAAAGACTCCCCCTTTCCACTGCTTTTTCCCAAGCTATTGGAATATCTGCCATGTTTTGGGGACAATTATTTTCTGAGACTTGCTCTGCCATTTCTGTCAGTCCCATGAGAAGGGAAGGAAAAGACTGGAGTTTTAAAATTCTAAGTCAAGAAAGTTTCAGTGGAATGAAAGGAAACACTTACGGATGACCTTCTCCTCTCCTGACTTTCCTGAAGACAGAAAAAAAATGCACATCTGTCAGCACAAAACCCATTTCTGCCTTTTCATCTAAAGCAGTTGTCAAGGCAGTTTTTATCAGTTATCATTATAAAAACACGTGGAGATGATGTTAGCTCATCCACCCCCGAAATTTGGGAACACACTTGTCTCCCAGCCTTATTCTGCTGCTGACTGTGCCTTCCGGTCCCTGTCAGTTTCTGCATCTCTCTGGGGCAGTATTTATACATCTCTATCTCTCTTTCCTGAAGTTGAGGCTGGGTATTTTTAGGGACTTGGGAAGCAAAAGCAGAGGCTCCTTGGGGGATTATAGTATAAGCTAGGAGAGGGTGGAGGATTTTAGCAGATAATGTCAGGAGTAGGGCAGAAGACGTGGGAAGCCTGTAAGTAATTTCACTTACCTCCAGGAGGGAAGGTTTGCATGTTCTCGTTGCAGATATGTGGAATATCTGTGAAGGGCAAGAGAGAGGGCAGGAGGACACTTACCAGCTGCCCCACATTTCCTTCTCCAGTCTCAAGCCAAAGGGCTCTGCTAAGGACTAGGACCTTGTGCCCCAAATGCTTCATCTAATTCCCTGCTTCAGCCTCCATTGCTGGAAGCAATCTTTTCTTCCTTGATAAATTCTCTACTATGATAACACTACTTTCTACCTTCCATTCCAGTCTCTGTCTGTTTCCTCCTTTGGCCACCAACGTCTTGAGAGCAGAGGTGATGCCTGTTCATCTTTGTACCCCCTCCCCCAGTGACCATAGTGCCCAGCACCCAGGAGATGCTCAGAACCCAGGAGCCTCTTCATCCCTCTCTCCAGAGCAGCCTCCATGGCTGCAGTTGGACCACAGTACAACACACGCCCCTACTCATTCTCTGACGTTGCCACAAGAGGGGACCAGGGTGCCTCAGTATTGGTGCAGGTAATTCTTGTCTTGCGGGGAGAATATGTGGGTCTCTGCTCACCCCACTCATCTTTGCCTTTGACTATCAGCTGTCTCACTCGAAAAGCCAGAACGCAGCCCTTGGGGATGGTTACAGCCTCCTTGTGGTTTACAGATCCCTAGAATTAGATGATGAGAATTTGTGAATCTCTGGAGATCTTTAGTATGAGATATTGGGAGTGTTGGTTGGGGGAGGTGTGGGGTCAGGGCTAAGAGCCTTCAGGGAGATAAGAAGTTGGCAGCCTTCAGTGGTGTCCCTGGTTTGTCTGGACTCTGAGGAAGGACTTCAAAGCCCTTGCACTCATTTCTGTGGATTTTCCTTTTTTTTTTTTTTTTTTAAATTGAGATGGAGTCTTGCTCTGTAGCCCAGGCTGGAGTGAGCGCAGTGGTGCGATCTTGGCTCACTATAACCTCCGCCTCCGGGTTCAAGCCATTCTCCTGCCTCAGCCTCCCGAGTAGCTGAAACTACAGGTTTGCACCACCACACTGGCTAATTTTTTTTTTTTTTTAATCAGAGGAAAGCGCAAACACAGTCCCCCACTACCACAAATTATGCTGTCGAGTTTCACACATTTGGGGAAATTGCAGGGGTCAGCACATCTGGAGTGCACAGCCTTGCCCTGGGAAAACCACCTTCTTGATCATGGTATCTCCCCTGCCAGGTAAGTATAATTTTTGTATGTTTAGTAGAGACGAGGTTTCACCATGTTGGCCAGTATGGTCTCGATCCCTTGACCTCGTGATCTGCCTCAGCATCCCAAAGTGCTGGGATTACCGGCCTGAGCCATCGCGCCTGGCTCTGCTGATTTTCCCTCTGGCGACCTGTATCTCTCTTCCTGCTTCAGATGCATGAAGGAAACCAGGCCAACCTGCTCCATCTCCTGCCTGTGCATCACCCTAAAGCTTCCATCCAAGCCCTGGCTCCTTCTTCCTCTTTGTCATGTGTCCCATGCTTATCTCTTACAGGAAGCCTTCCATGACTAACCTCTACTCCTGGCTCCAAATCCCAAATCATCCCTTGAATATTTAGATGCAATAGGTAGAGGTATGTGGAGCATTCCCATTTCCATTGACTTTTCCAAGCCTGTGTTCTCTGGGCTTCAACCTCTGTGTCTCCTCTATGAGCCTGAGAACTTTCTGAGAGCAAGGATGTCTCCTCTTTGGATTGGGAGCACCATGAGGGAAAACCTGTGAATGGAACTTTCCCCTTCCCCAGTAGTTCCCTGTGGCATCTGGCACAGGGGTCTGCCCTCACTGGGTGCCAGTGTCCAGGGAGGGGGTGTGTGTCTGGGGTTTGAATCTTGAAGAGCCAGAGGAAGGAGTGGTCCTTTTCAGCATCCTGGGTGGGCACTGTGATCAGGCAAAGCTAATGAAGCCTCCAGGGAGGGGCTGAATGTAAATGTGTATGTGTGAGTGTGAGTGTGTGTGTGTGTGTGTGTGTGTGTGTGTGTTTGAATCAAACCTGTAGCCCCAGTGGGGAGAAGAAGGGGAGGGAGAAGCAGGCCTCTGCCTTGCCGGCTCGCTCCAGTGTGACCTCCTGCACCGTCTCCACCACCTCCATCACCACATACAGGTTCTCGCCTTGATCTCGAACCTCTTTCAGGAATGGGTGATCTGCTGCCAGCTTCCTGTGGCAGGAGGAACATAAGGGAACCGGTTCAGAGCTTCTTCCTGCCTGTGCCACACCCTCCTCTTTTCTTCTATCATTCCCAGGAGCTAGACATTGTGGTGGCAGGGAAGGAGTGAGGATTCTGGACCAGGGCTGAGGGCGAAACCCAGGTCTCCTGCTTACTGGCAGGGCAGCTTCTCTGAGTCTTAGCTGCCCCATCTATGAAATGAGTGTAATGATGCTGACACCCTGGGTTGCTCAGAGATAAACTGGGTAATTATCTGGGCCAGCACCTGGCCGGGAATAGGGCCTCTCAGGTGCTTCTTACCCCATTTTCCTCTGGTTCAGAGGTAGATGCTTCTCTGTTTCCTCCCCATTCATCTCTCTGGGACCCTTTCTCTCCATGTCTCACGCTCTCTTGCTAACGCCAGTTTCTCTTCTCCACTTGCTCCTCCTGTCTGCTTCCATATATAAACGTGTCTGAACCCTAACAAATTTGTTTGCTTTGATCACGCTGCTCTCTCAAATTACTACCCTATTTTTCCCCTCATTTCATTGGCAAATATATCAAAAGATATGCCCACCCCTACTCCTAAATTCTTTTTTTTTTTTTTCAGATAGAGTCTCACTCACTCTATGGCCTAGACTGGAGTGCAGTGGCATGATCTTGGCTCACTGCAACCTCTGCCTCCTGGGTTCAAGTGATTCTCCTGCCTCAGCCTCCCAAATAGCTGGGATTACAGATGTGGGCCACCGTGCCCAGTCCACCTAAATTCTCTTTCTTTCTTTCTTTTTTTTTTTTTTGAGACAGAGTTTCGCTCTTGTTACCCAGGCTGGAGTGCAATGGCCCGATCTCGGCTCCCGCAACCTCCGCCTCCTGGGTTCAGGCAATTCTCCTGCCTCAGCCTTCCGAGTAGCTGGGACTACAGGCACGTGCCACCATGCCCAGCTAATTTTTGTATTTTTAGTAGAGACAGGGTTTTACCACGTTGACCAGGATGGTCTCGATCTCTTGACCTTGTGATCCACCCGCCTCGGCCTCCCAAAGTGCTGGGATTATAGGCGTGAGCCACCGCACCCGGCCTCTTTCTTTCTTTCTTTCTTTCTCTCTCTCTCTCTTTCCTTCCTTCCTTCCTTCCTTCCTTCCTTCCTTCCTTCCTTCCTTCCTTCCTTCTTTTTCTCTTTCTCTCTTTCTTTCTTGCCTGCCATCCTTCCTTCCTTCCTTCCTTCCTTCCTTCTTTTTCTCTTTCTCTCTTTCTTTCTTGCCTGCCATCCTTCCTTCCTTCTTTCCTTCTTTCTTTCTTTCTTTCTTAGATGGAGTCTTGCTCTGTCACCAGGCTGGAATCCAGGGGCTCGATCTTGGCTCACTGCTTCCTCTGCCTCCCGGGTTTAAGTGATTCTCCTGCGTCAGCCTCCCGAGTAACTGGGACTACAGGAGGGTGCCACCACGCCCGGCTATATTTTTGTATTTTTAGTAGAGACAGGGCTTCACCATATTAGCCAGGATGGTCTCAATCCTGACCTTGTGATCCGCCCGCCTCGGCCTCCCAAAGTGCTGGGATTACAGGCGTGAGCCAGTGTGTCTGGCCCTAGTCTGCCTAAATGCTTTATAGTTTGCCTTTTATTTCCTTCTCAGCTGAGATTACAATGACCTCTTACCTGTCAGTCTCAATGACCTTGCCTAACTCTGTGCAATACTCAATCCTGCTGCCCAAACCCTCAGAGCAACGCTGGCTTCCCTTGGCTTCCAGCCACGCTGTACCACCCTGGTTCAACTCCAGTGCTTCTAGCTTCTAAATCTTATCCATTCTGTCTGCACCTCATTTTCCATTTTATTTGGTTCTCTACAATTTTATGTTCTGTAAGATTCTGTTCTCAGTCCTGTTTTCTCAACTCCCTCTGAAACGCCCAACTCATTTTTTTTTTTTTTTTTAAGGTCTCACTCTGTTGCCCAGGCTGAAGTGCAGTGGCTCGATCATAACTCACTGCAGCCTTGAACTCCTGGGTTCAAGTGATCCTCTTGCCTCAACCTCCTCAATAGCTAGGACTATAGGCCCACCACCACGCCCGGCTAATATTTGCATTTTTTGTAGCGATGAGGGTTTCATTATCTTGCCCAGGCTGGTTTGAACTCCTGGGCTCAAGCAATCCTCCTGCCTCGGCTACCTGAAGTGTTGAGATGATAGAGTGAATCTCCTCCCCCGGCCCCTACAGTTTTCATCTTTATATCACTGATTACCCCGTGTGTATCTTCACCTTGACCTCTCTCCTGAGCTCAAGGACCTTATTTCCAACCACCTGGTAAACATTCTCAGCTGATGTCTCAGCAGAGCCAGAAACTCAAAACATCCAAAAGGAACTCACAATCTCCAAATCTACCTCTAACCTCTGTCTTCCTGTTTGTCACTGGTAATGGTACCTTTAATGTCCTATAACATCGCAACCTGAGTCAAATCTCACAGTCACCTTTGACAAAACCCTTTCCCTCATCCTGCAATCAGCTACCAAGTCCAGGCCATTCTACGGCCCTTGTTAATATGCCCTGCTCCATTCCTTCCTCTTCACTCCTATCCCCCTTCCTCAGCTCGGGTCCTCAGTTTACATTGCTCATGGGATAGAACAAACAGTGTCTTGGCTGGGTGCGGTGACTCACACCTGTAATCCCAGCACTTTGGGAAGCCAAGGTGGGTGGATCACCTGAGGTCAGGAGTTTAAGACCAGCCTGGCTAATGTGCTGAAACCCCGTCTCTTCCAAAAATACAAAAATTAGCTGGCTGTGGTGACAGGCACTTGTAATCCCAGCTACTCTGGAGGCTGAGGCAGGAGATTCGCTTGAACCAGGGAGGCGGAGGCTATAGTGAGCCAAGATTGCACCACTGCACTCCAGCCTGGGTGACAGAGCAACATTCTGTATCAAAAAAAAAAAAAAAAAAGAAAAGAAGCAGAAAAACAGTATCTTGCCTGGTCTGACTGCTTCCAACCCCTGTCCCTCTTCCCCTATCTGACACACTTCCTCCATCTGGCTGGATTAGTCATGGGACACATCACAGCATTTTCAGGGCCTTCCTGATGCCTACAGAACAATTCAATCTCCTGGACCTGCCACTTGGCTCCTCCGTAGTTTGGGTTCACCCTGCATTTCCTGCTCGTTCTACTCACACCTCATCTGCCCCTGCCGTGCTGGCCCCTGGTGGTTGAGATTGCTCACCTGTGTGCCTTAATAATACCCTTCTCCCAACCCTGCGTGCCCAATTTCTGCTCATCTTTCAAGGCCCAGAACAGAGGCTGCCATGTCTATGAGATCGTCCCTAATTTCTCCAACCAGAAGTCCCTTTGACCTGCCGCAAGACTCAGTCAAACCATTCCTACAGCACTAACCACTTCCTGGCTTGGATTATAATTATAATTACTGCTGCACAGGCTTTGTTTGTTGGTTTGTGTTTGAGATGGACTCTTGCTCTGTCGCCCAGGCTGGAGTGCAGTGGCACAATCTTGGTTCACCGCAACCTCTGCCTTCCTGGTTCAAGCAATTCTTCTGTCTCAGCCCCTTGAGTAGCTGGGATTACAGGTACGTGCCACCAGGCCCAGTTAATTTTTGTATTTTTAGTAGAGACGGGATTTCACCATGCTGGTCAGGCTGGTCTTGAACTCCTGACCTCATGATCCGCCTGCCTCAGCCTCCCAAAGTGCTGGGATTTCAGGTGTGAGCCACTGCACCTGGCCTGCATAGATTTTTAAAATTTTCACCTTCCTAGATTGCAAGGTTCTTGGACAAAGATGTTCTAGGTGCACCCAAGCCCGTAGTAGAGTGCTTTACTATATACATGCTTGCTAGATGACTACCCCAGCCCTTCCTTCTGACCTTCCCAGTCCTTACCTTCTTCTTTCAACCACTACTTAACTACTTAAAAGCCAGTTCCTTTGTCAAGCCAAACATCCATGGTGCCCGGGATCAAGGTAGCACCTGCCACGCCCTTGTGCTGTGGGGCAGCATTCCCGAGGGCGTGCCTAGTGTGTACTGGGGCCAGGCAGGAGGCTTCATTTATGGGAGCAGAACACAG